TACGACCTCCTCTCTCCCAACGACCGAATACGACCCCCCCTACCATGAGAAAAATTACGACCCCTATGAGTTTCACACAACTGCTGTACCTTACTCCCAGCTTCCTTTCCCCCACTTTCTTAATTCCATCCCATAATAGTGCAGGCGGTGTCTCTCGCTCATTAATGTGTAATCTCGCCATTTCTCATCCGTTCCTTTTTCTTCGTCTCCTGCCCTACTATGCATGAAACCAACAAGAGTTCGTTTTGGGTCATTTTTGACGGCTCATTCCCCTTTCTCTTCATTTACTACCTCACTTACGACACTTTTGTTCCGGAACCCCGCCCACCCACAATTCGGAATCGCTGGCTGTGTATTGAGGTTTCATTTGTGGAGACAGGGTTCGGCGCTGACGAAAGAGAGGGGGGAAAGCGTTTCCTGGTGACATCACTCGTAGTGTGGTGATCCGCTACTGATAAACCCAGGCCGTTGTGAAGATTCCCACTCCCGCAAAGCTTCAGGTGCCCACGCAATGCGCGTCTTCCATGTCAGGCGGGTAAGTCAATGTGGTGAAACATACATCCCGCCCGTGTTCTTTCCCTCTCTTCCTTAGCACCCGAGACTCTGACTGGAAAATGACTACATGTGAAAGAACATTCGTAAACACGCCTTGCGCATTTCTTCGCCAGATCCTCCACATCGAAACATTCCTTTTTCTCTATGTCCTTCATGAGAATCGTCGCCACCCATATGACAGGACCCCTAAAAGGTACTGCAATAACTCATCAGCAACTATGCGGGAAGGTTAGGAAAAAACCCTCAAAGATAACGGCTGAGGAGCACTACCTTCCAAGGCCATCGTCACTCTGAATGACAACAGGAGGAATATAATTGTCTAACGACTTTCGCATTACCTATACAAACAACTTTTTCATAGAAACTTCAACAAAGGCCGAAAAATAAAGTTCAGCCACCTGAACTTCCCTCTTCGATAATGTATGAACGAAAGGTCCAAGAAGATCGAGATCAGGCCACGTGTCCGGCGGCCATGCATCAAAGTGCATGAATGTGATCTAAAAATAAGTCGCACTTCAGAAAACTTCTTTGATTTCTTCTTCTCTTGCATATTCTGAGGGGCGGCCACAGCCTTGTTGAGGTGATAATGGCATGATAACGGCCTTATGAAGTTTTTTTTCACCAATGGTGGTAGGAGTTGTTTTCCCCTTTTAGTCCTCCCTGGCGTCGGACCCGCGCCGTCGCAGGGTCCACTGTTCCTGTAGACGACGCCTATAATGTGCAGGGTGTCCTCTGCCGTGACCTCCACTTCAGTGAGGTCTTTCTTGATCACGTCCCTTTCTTCGGGGCTCCTCGGGGTGTACTTTGAATTCCAAGGGCTTCCTCAGGCCTCCTCAGTGCGTGCTCATACAATCACGGTCGCTACTCTCATGCCTTCAGCGGATCGGAGCCGTCTATGTGGCTGCCCTGACGTCCCACATTTCGACTCTGTTCCTCATTTCAGCTGAGTGCAGCTGCCTTTCGTGATCCTTGCACATGCGCCAGCACTCACTGAGAGCATCGCAGGCATAACTTCTGTGCCGGTACACCTTTGCTCATGAGCTTACTTCAGCACCGCTGTTAGGATGCCTGTGGACTACCTCCATTCCATCCAGGGGGGCCGTCACTGCCCGGTCCACTCTGCATCAGCCTATAGTACCTGGGATATGCATCTCCACAGGTACTGGACGTCCTCGACCCTCCTGATTCTTTCCTGTGGCGTCTAGGATGAGTTCGGTGCATTCTGCGAAGCTCAGGAACTTAGTCTTCCTTACATTCAGCTGGAGTCCAATCTCAGCGAGCACCCCTGCCGCCGCTGCACCTTGTCCTGGAGTTCTTCCCTGCTACACGCTATCAGGAAAATGTCGTCTGCGTAGAGTATGGTTTTCAGAGGCCTACATGAGTTCTTTTGCCATGACATCCATACTCAGGAGGAAGATGAACGGGCTGAGGGCTGATTCCTTGGTGTACCCCAACCGTAATGTTTACCTCCTTTGTCAAGCCGTGAGGGGTGCGTACAGCTGCTTTAGCCCCATCGTACATGTCCTTCACTATGGAGATGAGATCTTCCGGAACGTTTCGTTCTCTGAGAGCGCTCTCCAGAGCGCAGGCCGAGAGAGGCGGTCGAGTGGTTTCCCCAAGGTCCAGGAAGACTGAAAGCAGGTTCGCCGCTTGCCTCGATACCCCTCCATGACCTGTCTGGCGATAAACATGGCATCAGTGGTGAACTTTCCGGGGTGAAGCCCGAACTGCTTGTGTGAGATAGGGACAAGTTCCTCGCTGAAGAGTGGCCCCTCCAGAGAGGCCTAGAAACGAATGCTTGATCGATTCGCATAAGTACATCCAACATCGCTGAACCGGAAAGTCTGAAAACTCATTTCATCTGCGTTATCATCGGAAGGTGAAGGTGGTGCCGGGCCGGGCAAGTGGCGCGGCTACCATAGCATGGCCTCGGGATCAAACTAAAATTTCTATCAAAGAGGAAAAAAAACAAAGGTTTACAAAGTCGCCAATGGGTGTGAATTGTCATGGAAGGGAAACTAGTAAAATACTCACTAGCCGCCACTTTTTGTCATCTTCTTCTTCTTGCGGATCTGCTTTTTGTTTAGACTGTAAGGATGTCAATGAATTAACATTCATGAAGGGTGGAAAAAGCGCTTTTCACTGTCGCATGTGACCTGCATGTTCCAGATGATCAGCTACTACATGTGAATGTCGTTTAAGAGTTGTGGCGAAATGCACAAACTAGCTAGTATGAATGTCGCGCACGCGACGCCAAATCGCCGTAATGTGGATCTCCCAACCGGCATCCGCTAACTCCGCATCTCTCCGACTTCCTATGCGCCGATGCTTTCATCTACTCTCTTTTCTAGAAGAGGAGAACGGGTTGAAGTCAATTACCTGGCCTTTTGACGCTACGGCATCAACGGATGGATCTGTGCTTGTTATTCGCAAGTCATATATCACGAATCCTTTCATTTCGTTCCGTTTCTTGCATTCAATCACAAAACGATTTCCCTCGATCTCCATTTTTTCGCCTTCTTTCGACGGCCAGTATGGATAGCACAAGCTTCCGTCGGATGAACTAAGCTTTTCACTTAGCGAGACGCATATTTTGCAGCCGTCCTGGAAGCGACGAAAGACTTCAACACGATCTTCATTTCGGCTTTGAACTCGGCAGCGTTCAGACTTCGCGATTGCATGCGTCGACTCGCCACTACGTGCTACCTACCACTGCAACAGCACTCTAACGTTACGAACAGGAACGTAGCCATGGAACGGCGCAGGCGGGTATGGGAGAATGGGAGGGTAAGCAGTGCCCGATCACACAGCCGAGTACTCTTCTAATCCTTTACTCTTCCACAACAATAGCAGCAGGAGCCGATCGATAATCGTCTGTGGCTCCATTCTCGTCACTGCGTTCTTTAGGTTCCTAGCATTGGAGCGCTGTTGCAATGGCAGCGCGTCGTAGCGTATCGCCGCGCGTCATCGCGAAGTATGAACGCTGCCTAGCCCCACACATGAGCGCTGCATGCTTGAAATCAGTAAGCAAGGGGTTCATAAAACGTTACCCTCCAAACCATTCGCCAATAATCCCGATAGTTTTCTTTTGTTGGAGCTTCTGTTAAGATGTAGTCATCGCGTTCACAGCAAGCATATGACGCCGGGAAATAGTCGCTGTCGCCTTCTTTTGCCTAAACATTTCTTATTCATACGCATAAGAGAGAACAGAACGAATGGCCCACTGAACGCCTCCGTTCACTTCTCTTCTTGATTGTAACTGCTTCAATGACACCCACTTAAGTGGCCCGGCCAGCTGCCAAATACTCACGTCCAATCGCTCCTACACTCTGGACACCCCCTCTTCATGATGTGGACCATGATCATTGCATGACTGATGCTCTCTAATCTGTTAAAGATCGCCAGAGAGAGCGCTCACCCTCTCTGATATGCTCAAGATGACGAGTACTCCAATAAGAAAGAAACGGTGGTGGCCGTCCTGCTAGACGCCAGCCCCTCTGACACGTCCAAGCGACCGAGTGAAACAAGACTCACATACAGGGGGGGGGACAACAAAGTCTCTTTCCTCCTTAACTTTCGAAGGCGTTTACAAACGTTACAACTTTATTACAATTCTGATGAACATATTCTACCAGCATATTCGAACAGCATATAAATACTAATCAATGATACTCTCCGCCACAGCCTCTGGAGGAGCGTCATTGAAGATTCATGCCACGCTATATCCGTGATTTCGGCTCAGCAGACTAGTTGATTTCTCTCCCGCCCTGTATGACGCATTTTATCGAACTCCTCCCAAACCAGTGCGTACGAGTGTGTTCAGACCAGGGACCCACTTAAAATATCCCATCTTCTTCAAAGTACTCAACGTCCTCCGTTTCCGAAGTAGTGAAGTTCAACCACCGCCCTTCGATTCATATGTGTGGCACCGTCGAATTTAAGGCATACAAGTTTCCAAGAAGGTCGGCGACGAACATTGAGAGGAATATAACTCCTCGGCTGCTTGGTGTAACGCTCGAGCGCTTCACCTTCAGCTTGGGGTCTCGAGAATAATGTCGGTCCCTTCATCCTAGAGTCCGGTCCATAACTCATCAATCCGCGCCTCAGCGACTGCGTGAAGAATGAGTCCTGACCGTAATGCTGACGCTGTCGAAACTGCTCGACTTGGAAATTTCTAAGATCAAAGATGTGCCGTCTTCAGGTAGCTGTCCCCATGGGTGACTTTAATAAATATAAAAAGTTTTCGCAGCTGTTCAGTGGTCGACATGAATTCCGAAGGTTTTCTCGCATCACGTTATAACTGGAGATGGCTTCATATTTAATGTACAATGAAGGTATGTGACGAGAACAATTTCTGCTTCACACGAGCGAACATCTTGGTACCTTGCTCCTGGTACTGCCTATGCCAGTCGTCCCCTCCACTGTGTGCTCCTTTCTGATACGCTCAAGATGACGGGCACGCCAATAAGAAATCGCAGTCGTAATCGATTCTCACCCACTCCCCTATCAAAGATCCATAAGTAAAGCTACTGCAGCTACTTTGGCTGCCACAAAAGCAGCGTTCGGAGAACCACCGCGGTCCGCCGGCACGCGGACGCTTTCCAGAAACGGCTGGCAATGAGAAATGCTCTTTGAGGGCAAGTTGACTCAGAAGGAGCCTGTTTCCAGCGTGGCTCAGCAATGCCATGTTCTAACAATAAGACGACCAAGCCATGTTAGAGCATGTCATGCTGTTTCGGTGAGAGGGTACAGATGAGCAGACGTGAGCGGCCCTGCTCTATTGAACAGTCGACTCTTCCGAGGCAGATTGCCTTGAAAAGCTGCTACGCCTGACAAAAACGCAGCTTAAAATCCATCGTGATAGTAGAATGGAAGGAGAAATGAGCGGAGACTTACATATAGCCTTGTTGGTTGCGGATTCTGGGGCATCCTAGGAGGACGGAGCAGGGTTAGGCTCGGAGCCAACCCGTTGGCTACCATTTATTGTCGCATGTACGCTTCAACAATGGCTGAAGAATGGGTTGGTGCCGCGCCGAATCCAGGCCTCTGACACGTCTCCTACTCTCCGCTTGCCGCAAAGGCAACTTTCGGAGATGCCAGCGCGGTCCGCAGTAACAGCGAACGGTCAGCCTTTCGTCAAGCGTGACCACAACCTATTTTTAGTCAGAAATGTCCCCACGATGCTCGGATTTGCCCGTGTTGGTCGATCGCTTGAATGGCTGTGGTCCAAGGTACAGCATCGGGACGGGTGAAATGGCAGTGTCAGGACAACTCCTCAAAACGTTCCTATTCCATCACGACTCCCCCTCCACCCCATCCACCATGTCCCTCTCCTTCACCCCCCTCACTCATAAACACAACCTTGCTAAATCTTCTAGCTCCACTTCTGCAATCAGTTTGGAATCGGCTTTCAGCGATAGATGTTTGTGGGCCCCACAGCTCTATAGCGGAGGGGTTTAGGGCGTTGAACTTCAGAAACGGAACCGAGCGAAAGTTATCACAAAAATGTATAGTTATGGACAAAAGTCTGTGCAAAGCGGGTAAGCGCGGCCTCGGTTGCGTAACGGATAGCGCACTCGCCCATGTGGTCCGAGCCTCGTTCGGGTCAAGACTATTGCTCATAACTCAGCATTTTTGTGATAACAACCGAAAAACTCCAGCGCTCGGAAAAAAATCTCTCAGATACAACTCTCCTTCCCACCAACCAAGTACGACCTCCCCTCCGATGATACTCTATCAATGATGCTGTAGCCTGGCTTTAGCCCTTCTAACCTCGACCGGTCGTGCTCATACACTTTCATGCAGCCTTCGGCTTCAGAAATCGTCCAAAACGTACCACGGTTAGAACGACCCGCTTTTTATCGTGTATCGGTACTGCAAGTCGATGTTTTGCCTGAAAATCTTCAATACTTACTGGTTATCGCCATTAGTACATATCCATCAAATTCCGCCCGTACCCGATTCTCCAAAAACGACTTGCAGTTAATACGTGACGCTGCGGTGACCTGATCGAACATGATCTGACGTTGCTTTGGTGAAAGCCTCGAGAAATGTGCTAGTAATTCCGTCGGTTTCTCTCCTTCTATACTTGCTGCCTGAAAACTGATTGAAATAGGTAATTAATGGCGTGAACATCACTAGGACACCACCTATCGAACTCACATTGCCTCTACTTGGCCTTTTCCGGCCTGTACCACCCTTCTACTTGTTTGCCGCCATTGCAGTTGTGCACTAGTAGAAAAATGAACCACACCGCTTTCCCTGACTTCAGGATAGGCCCTGTTATCACATTCACGAAGTTATCATCATCGGAGCTACCAAAGCCTACATGGCCTTCTTGCAAAATAGTGCCCTTGTAAAAAGTTCAGGAACTCCGAGTCGTTATATCGCGCGCAGACTAGCAATTTTCTCGGTATGGGGTCTTACAACACAGCGGCTGCAGAGACGCAGATTATTTGCCAGCCCGTTGGAATAAGCGTCACGACCGCAATGAGTGCTGCCGCAGCGCTGTCACGTTGAGTCCATCGGGCCACGCTGCGAATGCTGTGCATCCCCTCGTTTGCAACGTCTCTACCGCGGCGATTTTGAGGAAACGCTCGCATAGCACGTCCTGCCGCTTGAAGGGGGGGGGAGGCGGGGGAAGTGGGTGGGTTTTGCGAAGTACGGCTCTCTCAGAAGCTCCTCCCCTGGGTGCGACACCCCTTCCTCATCCCTCGTCCTGCCTACCATCTCCCTGATCACTCCCACTTTCCCATAACTTTTCCGAAGCTTCTTCTCGAGATTTTCCAGTGTTTCTGCAAAAATCGAGTGGGGGGGAGGGAGATGGAGAATCTATAGCGCACGTGAGACTGAGAAAACCGGAAAAACAACCTAACACATCCTTCACATCACAAGAGCGCGTACGACCCCGTCCCTCCAGTGCACAATTACGACCCCTCTCGCTAGAAATCTCCAACGTACGATGTGTCCTGAAGGCTCTGAATCCCACTTTCCTGGCTGGTCGACTTGTCAACTGGAACATCGCCACATTGAATCAACTGGATCCTGAGGACCCATCTGCTGGACCACACTCAAAACCATCCTTAATCGTCATCGTCGGGATCCGGAAACATCAGCTTAGCGCTAAAATTTAGCTGCAATCCGTCGCACTCAATTGCTATTAGAAAGCGACAAGGAGTGATCATGAACCCCATGCAATTCGTACGCACGCAGTTTCTTAGAAACGGCTGAGGGATAAAAGGTTTTGCGCGGTAGGTGCCTCGGGATAGGACCATGTTTGGCCTGGGAAGACTTTCTCAACAACTGATTTTCATTTTGACTGTTTAAAGTGCGAGTGTCCTAAACTCCACTCCCCAACCACCCCCACCCCCGCCCCCATCAGTTTACCATTTCTGAGAGCTGACAAAGGGAGCGCCGGCCCCCTCGACGCATTTGGCGTTTTCAAAGGAAATTTTGCTCATCGCCATGTGTCCAGGCGTAAGTTGGTCACAATGGCTCCTAGCGACTACGCGGCCGGAGGTAAAGACGAAACACTCAACATCTCGTTCGCAGGGACACGCCTCGTGCTAATTTTCAGTGCGACGCACCCGCTTTTCTTATGTGAATTCGGGACTGCCTTATTCTCTGCTTGCATATCGAAGAACCCCACCCATTGAAGTTGTCTCACCCTTAGACGAGACTGGAGGGGGGGGGGGGTGTGAGACAACATCAGCTGACATTCTTGTCACCTTGCTCGTCTAAGCGCGACCGGAGCGCTGTCGTCGCGAAGTCTGAACGCTGCCCAAGTGTTCTCTCATCCTTGGGCTCTGATCTTCTGTCCGCGCACCAGCCATCACACTTATTTCGAAAAGCGTTCTCTCTCTCTCTCTCTCTCTCTCTCTCTCTCTCTTCTCTCTCTCTCTTATTGGTATTCCCACCTTTCATTAACAGTCAATTGGATGCTCCTCAAGATGATTATTTGGCCCACTAGCGCCCGATGTGTGAATTGGAACCAGCAGGGATACCAACTAAGACTTAACATTGATTTATTCTCTGTAACAGAAGTACCAAACAAAGATCAACACACCAACAGATTACCATTGAAAGCCTGTCACAAACGATAATCATAGACATAAGGTACGTTCTCTAAAGAGAAGAAATTGAGGATGGAAAAAACGGAAGAGACAAAGCTGCCCTCACGAGATGTATATCACAAAGAAACAACGAAACATGCAATATGTGTACTATATATAAAGCGCGAAAATATCGAAGTTTTTGAGGTATACTCAGCTCTTCTGATTCCGACCGACTGCATTATCAGCCTGTCCCTTTACCATTTCTTCATTCTTCTCGTTGATGATTGTTGTAATTTCTGTTGTAGAGCATACGTTCGAAGGAAAATGTTCCCCTACGGAAATTGAACGAAATACCAAGTTCAGGAACATACTTGCTGAATGAGATGTTGCTTTTTAGGAGGTATGTAGAGGTTATGCCCACGTTTAGGACCAGCAGGTTTGGTCTTCTTGGTCTTTTGCTTGACGCCTTTCGGTAGGGTTGTCTGAAAAGGCAAAGGCATAAAGAAAAATGCAAAAAAAAATCCGTATAGCAGGACCCCAGTTAGCGAAATAAGTGACATTATCTCAGTCAGCATATTGTGCTTTACTACAATATTACGCTTTTTCCCATGAAAAGTATTTGCAAAGGTGGAAATATGGTGGCTAACAAAAGCAAACTTCTAGGACTCTGCTCACGACACATGATGATATCAAGAGGAGCTTCTCAAAAGGTAGGCTCACAAAAGATAGTTCAGGTCGATACTTTGTGGAAAATGAGCCTCGCACTTGACCTCTATCTGAATCCGCATAGCCATATTCCGGCAGCATTTAGGATTTCTGCGATATATGAGACCACAGGAACTTGCTTCTAGCCGCCTATCCAGTGAGACAGGCTTTATGTGTTAAAAAAAGCCTTGGGACAAAATTGCCTTGACAATTCTCGCTTAAGCCAAGATATAGGTAGGCGAGTTCGTCTCAAAGAAGACAAAGGCTAAGTTATCTAATAGGCTCCACCATGAAATACAGTGCACATTTGCGAAGCGGTATAGTCACGTTCGCTACGGATGATGGGGCGTGGCAGCACTTGCGTTCGGCGCGGCGCCAACCCATTATTCCCTCCTTGGGCAGGCGGAGAGCGGGTAGGCAGAGTGCCAACTGCAGCCGCACTAACACGCCGCATCATACGCAGCGAGCAAGACTGTACCTCTAGTTAATGTGCTTTTATCACCATTCCTACATTGCAGTGAAACCCGAAACACAGCAAGTTAAATGAAGCCTCAGTTGCTAAACTCATTCTTATGGAATCACTCTAATACAACAACGGTGACCATAAAGCGGTCTCAAAAAATGGTGCTATCTAGTTTGAACAAACCTTTTGCTTAATCTTGTGTTGAACCATACTTATCTGATGAATAACGTATATCCGGCA